GCATCCAAAGGAAGATGGGGCAATCTGCTTCTGCAAAGATTTACCACCTCGGAAACACAATGGGGGTCGCTATTAGTCGGAATCAACTCGACGGCATTGAGTTTGGCTTTTGATTTTGGAGAGCCTTATAATTAACTCCCCTTTGGCCTAAGTGAAGGAGCTCTGGTGGCATAGTTCCTAAGGCATCTGACTGCTAACCACAAGGTTAGCAGTTCAAACCCACCAGCCACTCCACAGAAGGAAGACTGGGCAATCTACTTCCATAAAGATTTACCACCTTGAAAACCTGAAGGGGGTCACTATGAGTCAAATCCACTCAATGGCAGTGAGTTTTGTTTGGTTTTTGAAGGAGCCCCAGGTGGCACAAAACATTTAAGCACTAAGTGCTTGACTATTAACTGAAAGGTTGGTGGTTCAAACCTACTCAGAGGCTCTGAAAGGTCCAAAAAACCCAAACCCAAACCTATTGCCATTGAGTCAATTCTGACTTACAGCAATCCTATAGGACAGAGTAGACCTGCCGTATAGGATTTCCAAGTCTGTAATGTTTATGGAAGCAGACTACCACATCTTTCTCCTATGGAGCAATGGGTGAGTTCAAAAATCCCATGGAGGGCAGTATTACCGACACGTGGGGTCACCATGAGTCAGGAACAATTCAATGGCAGTAACTTGGATTTTTTTGTTGCCAATGTCAGTTAGAATGAGTTTCTGTTTCTTATTTCTGAACAGGGTGCCACATTGGAAGGTCTCCTCCTAGCATCCAGCTCTGAGTCCTGCCATTTTCTCTGAGGCCAGTTTGGAGAGACCTAAAGTGTATCTGTGAGAATGGGAAGCATTTTTTTCTTTGTGGCATCTGTGTGTTTTGAGAAGGCTCAGTAAAGGTTTCTAGAGAGGGGTTCATCCACCTCCCACGCTCATTACAAGATCAATGCATCATTTTCTGCTGTGAATCCTTGCTTAACCCTTCAGAACAAGCACAGCCACTATTTACAGCTAGAAGTGTACTCTGGAATTACAGCATCTCTGCACCAAAAGGAAGCAGGGCTCAGGTCCAAGGATAGTTATTTGTAGTTCTAGCAAGTCAAGGAGGTCACTGAGTGGTGCAAATGGTTTGTGCTCAGCTACTAACCTGGTTCAAATCCACACAGCAGCACCATGGAAGAAAGGCCTGGTGATCTACTGCTGTAAGATTACAGCCAAGAAAAACCTACAAGGCATTGTTTTACTTGGTAATACATGGGGTCACCATGCAGCAGAGGCAACTAGATGGCAGCAAGTTTGGGTTTTTTGGTTTAGGCAAGTCAAAACATGGGAGCAAGGCGAGCAATGGGGACCAGGTTTCCCTGGAGCAAAGTCCCCATGCCTTTATGACACAGTGACAAGGTGATTGTTGAGACCATAACAGAAATACATCAGAGGAGACAGTATGAAAGCAAGGATCAGTCTGTTCAATTCATCAGCAGTTAGAACAGGGGCTTTTGGGGAAGGTGTCCTGGAATGTGCCTCATTCTGCTACCAGCCAGCAACCTCCACACTTCTTCCCTGGGGTTACAGACATGTCTGACACTTGAAAGCTAGCGCTATACTGAAGAACCTCACAAATGTGTTTTCAAGGTCCTGCCAATGAATGAGAACATCATCCCAGGTCAAGCCAACAGGACTCCCACCATGAGAATCTAAAGGCACAGAGAGGGTTAAAGAAGAGAAAAGCTGCTCCCTTTCCCCACACATAGCCTGCCCTTTAGTCTGTTAATACCAAGACTGTCTATGTGATTTGAGCCATTATCAAAGGGAAGGACAGGAACTTCAGGGCCAGATGTCCAGCTCTCAGAACAGCCAAACCAGTAGGACAGGCAGGAGAAGCACGGGCCAGGCCAGAAGAAACCCTGCAATGCAAGAGACATGATGTCAAGTGTGGGGCTTTGAAACTCAGCAGCAAAAGCAAGTTGACCTCCCTTCTTTGGAGGCATATGTTGGGAAGGGTAGAGTCTTCATAGTGTCTGGTCCAAGTCACAACCTCTGGGAGGCAATGAAGTGGTCATGTGGAAGAAGCAGATCTATCTAATCACCAAATGCTTTTCTGGTTTCCTCCGGGAACACTGGGAGGCAATTTTTCCAGCCTCTTGTGCAGGTAGGTGGTGCCATGTAACTGATTTCTGGCCAATGGATCATAGATGGAAGTCATTTCTAGGCCTGGTCCTGAAAACCTTCTATGTGACCCTCCACACTCTCTTATCAACCATCTAGGGACCAGATGCGGAGAATGCAACATAGGACTCTGAAGGAACAGTAGAGTTACCAGAAGGCAATGAGAACCGGAGTTCCTAATGACAGGATGGAGCAGAAATTTACTCACTCCCCAAAGATATAGTAAGAAATAAACCTTTTTTGTGTAATGCCATTGAAAATTGGGGATTGCTTATTATAGCAGCTAGCATTACTTATCCTGACTAATAGTGAACACGCAGAATAGCACAGAGGTTAAGAAGCACGGACTCACTCACTGCCGTCGAGTCAGATGTGACTCATAGCGACCCCTCCTTGGGTTTCCAAGGCAGTATCACTATGGAAGTAGATTGCCCAACCTTCCTTCTGAGGAGTGGCTGGTGGATTTGAACCGCCAGCCTTCTCGTTAATAGCCAAATGCCTTAGGCACTATGCCATCAGAACTCCCAAGAAGCATGGACTACTGAGCTTAAAATCACAGTCTTCAAGAAGTTGTTCAGCCTCAGGAAAGTTATTGAAACTCCCTGTGACTGAATTCCCCCATATAAGAAAGAAAAATACTAGCAGCACCTATCACCTTGTTCGATTTTTGTAAGGCTTAAATCAATGACTTCAAACAACATTTAGAGCAGTGCCTGGCACATGGTAAATACCATATGTTTACCATATGGTAAATACAATAAGCTGCTGCCAAGTCCATACCCAACTCATGGTGACCTCATGTACAACAGGCTCCAACCGTTGTGATCCATATGGTTTTTAGTGGCTGATTTCTGGAAGCAGGTTGCTAGGCCTTTCTTCCTAGTCCATCTTAGTCCGGAAATTGTTGAAACTTGTCGGCATAATAGCAACATGCAAACCTCCACTGACAGATGGCTGTGTGTGAGGTGCATTGGCTGGGAATCCAACTGGTCTCCCACCTGTGAAGTGAGAACTCTGCCACTGAACCACTACTGTCTCAAACACCACTTAAATGTTGGTATTTTGGTTTTGAAACTTTGACTCTAAGGTCTTGGAGGGACGGGATCATAGCTGTTTTTCACGTCACCCTATTCCCAGTAAGGAGTCCTTATGGTGCAATTGTTAAGCAGCACTCCCCTGCTGACTGAATGGTTGGAAATTTGAACCCAACAGCTGCTCCGTGGAAGAAAGACGTCGCAGCCTGCTTCTGTGAAAATTACAACCTTGGAAACCCTGTGGGACAGATAGCAGTTTGGGTCACTATTGGGAGGAAGATGAGACAATGTACTCCCATAAAGAGTTTCCCTTGGAAATCCTGTGGGGTCACTATGAGTTGTAAACAATTTGAAGGCAATGGGATTTTTAGATTTTGTTTTTGTAGCCCCCGTGTTAATGAAGGCCATGGATCATAGAGGGGAGTTGCCTCATATCTGGGGCCCCAGGAAAGTGTGCACATCTCCCCACACACTACCAGATGATAGCATAGCTTCCTCCCTCACATTTCAAAGGAATTTCCTGATGTCCTGCAATGGAGAGAGGAATATCAGAATTTTCAGAAACATTAGAAGATGATACATGGCAAGTGTATGAAAACCAGTTTATAATTATGTAACTCGGGTTGATATTTAATTGATTTTAAAACATCAAAAATAGTTGTGGAAGATCCAACCAAAATAATGAAAGCATGAGTGCCCTCTTGTGGTGTTCTCCTGACACTGCATCAGATTGATTCTTTCTTCTTCCAGAACCGGTTGCCCTTGGGTTGATTCCAACTCATAGTAACTCTATAGACAGAGTACAACTGTGCCATAGGGTTTCCAACGCTGTGATCTTTATGGAAGCAGACTGCTATATCTTTCTCCCATAGATTGGCTGGTGGGTTTGAATCACATGACCTTTCAGTTAGCAGCTGAGCACTTGAGCACTGTACCACCAGGTCTCCTTCCTTCTCTTCCAGAAGGCTCCAAAAGCTAACCCCATCTTAGAAATGAGCCAATTCCACAAACACTATTAGGGAACCATGAGGCTCCAGGAACTGTGCTATCCTCAAGGACTGGCAGAAATGAGAGTCTTGAGGTCCCTACCCTCAAGCTGCTTACTGTCTTGGCTTTAAGTGTTCTCTCCAATAAGCATAACTTTTCTTAGTGTTGTTCAAATATTAGCAATAAGCATGGAAAGGCCATCTTGAACTTATTTGGGAATTTTTATTCTCTTATCTTGTTGGAAGTTTAAGGATGAGAAGAACTTTTTCACGTTTAGGTCATTTAGTCATTTTGAGAGGTAGCAAAACCTTACTAGTATGTGTTTTCCTTTTATACAGTTCCTGGATTTGTCAGTCTGTTGAGGTCCAGTTCATCCATAAAAAGACCATCAATCAAATTCAGTTATCATCTGCTGAAATTCTAGTTAATTACTCTTATATGTGCTGCTTCTGAACCATCTACTTGGTTATCATTTATTTGCTTATCTGTCTATCTCAATTTTAGAATTCTTGTTTCCTCTGCCTGTAAGGCTTGTTCCACAAATATTTGTACATGTGACTCCTTTGATATCACCTCCTCTGAAAGTTTCTTTAACCATGTCAGTAATGGATTATCCACGCATCACTCTTCCTTCCTACCTTGATAATAGAAACATCATGTATTGGTTGGTCACTTGGCCACTCAGAATAGAGATTACATTTCTCAGCTTCCTTTGCAGCCAAATGCAGCCATGTGACTAAGCACTGGCCAATGAGATGTACATGGAGTTATGAGGTGCTCACTTCCAGGAATGTTCCTTAACATCGATCCATTTCTTTCATGTTTCCTTCACCTTCCTGGACAGATATGAAGGCTGGAGCTCTGGCTGCCATCTCGAACCATGAGGATGAAGGCCACACCTTAAATATGGTACACAGGTGAGCTGGAAGAATTCTTGATTACTTCATGGTGCCACCATAATCTTTGGATTTTTTGCCTATAGACTTCATTTATGTGAGAGAGAAATAAACTTGTCTTATTTAAGACACTATTATCTATGCCAGTAACTTTCCATTATATCACCATCTTTTATTTCTTCTGCACACATACCATTGTCTAAATTACCTTGTTTACTTTGTATTGTCTATTTCCCACACTGGAACATAAACTTCATGAGGACAGGGTACCTGGTCTGCTTGTTCACTGTTACATCTTCAGTACCTAGAGTAATGCCTGGCACACAGTAGGCACTCAATAAATACATGCTGTTAAGTAGCTAGTCTCCTCTGCTAGACTGTGAGCATCTCAAGACCCAAAGTCTTAGGTCTGATTAATTTCAGTGCCCAAAGTTCCTAGCACAGGGCGTGGCATGTAGAAGGGGCTGAAAAAATGTGCACTGAATTGACAAGAGGAAGGAAAGAGAGCTGGGAGGCATATGGGAAAGGCAGGAGAAAATGGTGTACCTGGGGTGCTGGGGGCTCCACTCATGACACCAAGAGACTGGGCATCTGTGAACACAAGCAGAAGGGAAGGATTTCTCAGCCACGCTCCAATGATTGTGGCCCCAGAGCTGCAGCTGCTCCAAGTTCTCCTGAATCTGGTCTTCACCACCACTGACGAGTCACACTGTGGACACATCTGTTATTTGGCAGGCACCTTTCTAATCATACTGCATGTGTTTGAAACTTAATCCTCCCAACAAATTTGCAAGGAAAGTATTGTCATCCCCACTGGACAGTTAAGTAATTTGTTAAGTTGACAGAGCCAGTAAAGGGCAGAGGTGGGACTTGAACCCCTGTCTGTCTGATTCTGAAGGGGAAGTTCCTAACCCTCCACTAACCCTATGACACTACATGAGGCTTCAGGCTGAGGTTTCAGTGAAGGGGCAAGACAACTTGGGGCAGAGTCTCCTTCAAGAGGAAGACTACTTGAGCCTCAGTTTACTCATCTAGCAAATGGGAGTGGTAATAGTACTTAGCTCCCACAGCTACATGAACATACAAATGTGATATGCTGTGATATACACATAAAGGTGTCTGGCTTGGTGTTAGGCACAAAAATGCATTATTACTTTTATTATTATTACCATTACCACATACTAGTTTCATTCCTTCTTTTGGATTTCTTGATTTCTCCAAAAAAAAAAAAAAATGACAGTACTGCTAGGCCATGGGTGGAATGGATGAAACTTTGGAAACAAGTTTTGATGATCCAGAATATTCAAACTGGATTTTGAAAAATATAATCCTTCATCAAAAAGCGATGTTACCCTTAAGTGGGAGTTAGGACTTGGACACCACTGAAAAGGGACTTGGGGGCAGGGGGAGTAAGGAAATAAACATATGCTTTGAAATCAGATATAGCTGGGTTCAAGCCTAACTGCAGCCACTCAAGAGCTGGGTGATCTTGGGTGAGTCAAGTCATCTCTCTGAGCCTCAGTTTCCCACTTGTAAAATGGGCACAGCCATGCCTCCTTTGGGAGGAGTGAGAAAAGTAATGGATGCACAGTGTTCAGTGTGATCTCTGGCACCACAAATGGTAGATATAATGTTACTCTTATTACCAAACGCATCCCATTGGAAGATAGATTCTCCCAGAGAATTCTCCTCCTCTGAGGAGGCAGAAAGGCCCTAGTCAGTTGAGCCAGTGTCCCTGGGCACCTGTGAGTTAACTGTCAGCACTTGGCCAGCTGGCCTTTGTCACCAGGACTCAGTCTACTTACCTTTCCGAGTAATGGGTCCCAAATCTAGAACATGGGCTAAGTCAATGGCCACTGCATCATTGCGGAGTCTACTTCTTGAGCAAGACTGTGGGGGTGGAGAATTCCCATTATATCAAAACTTAAATGGGCAGTCACTATCCAGACTCCCCCTATGATGAGTAACTCTGGCCTAAGAAGTGGGCCCTACACACCCAATGGTCCTAAATCTGATGTCATGGTTATCTTAGTCAAGAGAATTCCTGACTTCATGCCAAACAAACCTAGATTCAAATCTCATTTCCACTATCTTTTATTTCTATAATCTTAGGCAAACAAGTTCATTTCTCTGAGCCTCAGTTTCCTCATATATTAATTGGGGATCATTATAATGCCTCCCTGGTCATTATGATTAAAATTAAGTGTGTTAGGTCTTGAAAGGAAAGTAGTTATTCAGAGAATGGAAGAAATAATGAAGTATAAAATTGAAATAGCAGATTTCAAAGGGCATCTCCAGAGGACAAAGTAAAGTATTATAATGAAATGTGCAAAGACCTGTAGTTGAAAAATCAAATGGGAAGAACAAGCACAGCATTTCTCAAGCTGAAGGAAATGAAGGAAAAAAAGCAAACCCTGATTTGCGATGTTGAGTTCTATGAGCAAAGTATTGAACAAAGCAAGAAGCATCAAAAGATGACACAGTCACTGTAGCAAAAAGAATTGGTCGCTGTTCAACAATTTCAGGAGATGGCATATAATCAAGAATTAATGGTACTGAAGGAAGAAGTCCAAGCTACACTGAAGACATTAGTGGAAATCAAGGCCCAGGAATTGACAGAATACTCAATGAGATGTTTCAACAAACAGATGCAGTACAGAAGGCTCTCACTTGTTTATGCCAAGAAATTTTGAAGACACCTATCTGGCCAACTGACTGGAAGAGATCCATATTTGTACCCATTCCAAAGAAAGATGATCTAATAAAATGCAGAGATTATCAAACAATATCATTAATATCATATGCAAATCAAATTTTGCTGAAGATAATGCAAAAGCGGTTACAGCAATATATCAACAGGGAACCACCAGATATTAAAGCCAGATTCAGAGGAAGACATAGAATGAAGGATACCATTGCTGATGTCAGATGAATTTTGGATAAAAGCAAAGAATACCAGAAAGATGTTTACCTGTATTTTGTTGACTATGTAAATGCTTTTGACTCTATAGATCATAACAAATTATGGATAACATTGCAAAGAATGGGAATTCCAGATCACTTACTTGTGCTCATGAGGAACCTGTACATAGACCAAGAGGCTGTGGTTCGCACAAAATAGGGATATACTACATGGTTTAAAATCAGGAAAGGTGTGGACCAGGGCTGTATCTTTTCACCATACTTATTCAATCTATATGCTGAACAAATAATCTGAGAAGCTGGACTATATGAAGAAAAATGCAGCATTAGGATTGGAGTAAGAGTCATTAAAAACCTGTGATAGGCAGATGGCACAACATTGCTTGCAGAAAGCATAGAGGACTTGACGCACTTAGTGACAAAGAGCAAAGACTACAACCTCCAGGATGGATTACACCTCAACGTAAAGAAAACAAAAATCCTCACAACCAGACCAATAAGCAGCATCACGATAAACAGAGAAAACATTGAAGTCGTCAGTGATTTCATTTGACTTGGATCTACAATCAAAGCCCATGGAAACAGCAGTCAAAAACTCAAATGAAGTATTGCATTTGGAAAATCTTCTGCAAAAGACCTCTTTGAAGTGTTTAAGAGCAAAGATGTCACTTTGGAGACTAAGGTGTGCCTGACTCAAGCCATGGTATTTTCAATAGCCCCACACGCATGTGAGAGCCAGGCAATGAATAAGAAAGACTGCAGGAGAACTGACACATTTGATTATGGTGTTGGTGAAGAATATTGTGGTAGTTAAGTTTATGTGTCAACTTGGCTGGGCCTGGTTCAGTGGCTGGGCAGCTGGATATAGTATTCCCCATGATGAGACTGGTAATCAACTCCATGGTGGAATCTACTGTGAGCAGCTGAGTAGCTCCTTAGGAATGCGGTCTGCTTCCTGTATATAAGCAGAAGCCTTGGGAACAGTCTATAACTTATGGCACGCTAGAACCCTGCATGTAGCCGTGTTGTTATTCAGCAGCCTACCATGCTCTGCCAACCCTGGGACTTTCAATGGACTTGAATTAATGGCCTGCCATGTGCTTTGGTAACATTGGGACTGTGCCATTTTATTTGTCAACCTTGGGCTTGTTAGCCTCAGCAGCCAGTAGCTGCCTGAGTGAAAAGATGCCTGTGGCTTCAGTGGGCCGGGAGCAAGAGGCAGAGCTGAAGTCCAAGGTTGAGAGGTTTTCACACAGCTCTTAGAGCCTGGCACTTTGAACTCGGACTTCTAGCCTCCTGAACTGTAAGAGAATAAACTCCTGTGTGTTAAGGCCATCCCATTTGTGGTATATTCTTGCGAAAACAGCATTAGGTAACCAGAACAAATATTGAATGTACCATGGACCATTAGAAGAATGAACAAATATGTCTCAGAGGAAGTACAGCTGGAAGTGAAAATGTCCAGACTTGGTCTTTCATGCTTTGGTCATGTTGTCCGAAAGGACCAATCCCTGGAGAAGGACATCATGCTTGGTAAAGTAGAGGGTCAGTTAAAAAGGGAAAGACCTTCAATGAGACGGATTGACACAGTGGCTGCAATGATGGGTTTAAGCATAGCAATGATTTTGAGGATGGCATATGACAAGGCAATGTTTCATTCTGTTGCAAATCGGGTCACTATGACTCAGAACTGACTCAATGGCACCTAATATCAACAACCTGTTAGCAACACACTTAGCGCACTGCACAGACACCTAGTAAGCATTTAAGAAATGCCAGCTATTATGAGTCAGCACCAAACAGGTGAGAAGAGCATGGATATTGGGGCCAGACTGCCTAGGGGTACATCTTGGTTCTGCCATTTTCTAGCAAGTGATTTCTCTGAACCTCAGTTTCCTCATCTGTACAATGGAGTCAATAAAATGAATTACTTAAATTATTGTGAAAATTAAATTATACATGACAGCACAGTTCTTGACACACAAAATGGTCTATTATTATCGTTGTTTAAAATATGTCTGCGACAAATAAACTTAGTGAATAGATTCCTACATCTGATCTGCCTCTAAAGACACAAGAATGACTTTTACACATGTCCTTTCAGGAGACCCGAAGTCCATCCATCTAACCTTACTTCCTCTCTCCCTCCCTTCCTCCCTCCCATCAATCTATCTACCCATCCATGTTTCATCTCTCCCACCTTCCTTCCTTCTGCCTATCCATCTGTACACCCACCCATCCATCCATAATGTCAATAAATACTTATGGAGAGCCCACCAGGTAACAGGCCTCATGCTAGGCTTTGAACAGTCCAGTCCAAAGAGATACTCACCGGTTCGCACTGCTCATTAAGGAAATCGCAGAGATGAACCTCACAATGCAGGAAAACTAGGTCATAATTTCCAGCAAACATGAACATCTGAACAGAGAACCGGCTTTCTGAGGACACTCCATTTTCCTCCACGTAGATTGTGGAATCCTGTAGATTTGGGCAGCTGCGAGGGTAATAGGGGCAAGGATCTAACTTCAAAAACAGCTTGTAGGGCATGAGACCCTCAGCTGCACCTTTAATCTGCATCCAATGTAAAAAATGCCTTATAAAATAGCATCCCCAAAAAACCAAACCCACAGTCACTGAGGCAATTCCAACTCATAGTGACTCTATAGGACAGAGTAGAACTGCCCCATAGGGTTTCCAAAGCTGTAAATCTTTACAGAAGCAGACTGCCTCATCTTTCTCCCATGGCGTAGCTGGTAGGTTCAAACTGCTGACCTTTTGGTTAGCAGCTGAATGCCTTAATCACTTGCACCACCTGAGCTCCTCAGAGAGAATTAAATAGCCACCCAATTCCCTCCCTCATGAGAACATGTACTTTTTCTATGTCTCTGTTTCCTCCAAGATATTATCTACAAACTCCCATGGTTTAAGTTATTAGTCTGTCTCTGGAGGGAGACAGACTAGCTTCAAATTCCAGCCCCATCCACCTTCTAGCTAAATGATCATCAGCAAAATTACTCAATCTTTCTGATCCTCAATTTTCTTATATGTAAAGTTAAGATAGTAATATCCACCTCATAGCATTGATGAAATAGCATTTAATGAAATAATCCATGTAGTGTAGTGCCTAAGGCACTTGACTGCTAACCAGAAGGCTGGCGGTTCAAACCCACCAGCCACTCCTCGGAAGGAAGATGGGGCAATCTACTTCCATAGTGATACTGCCTCGGAAACCCAAGGAGGGGTCGCTATGAGTCAGGTCTGACTCAACGGCACATAACAACAACAACAACATATTTCTTAGCACAGTTCTTGGCATATAGTTAAACTCAATGATAGATCTTAGAAGTATGGTTTGAATAATGATCTATAAATATGTGTTTTCTTTGCTTTTGCCAATTATATTTAATAATTTTATCCCTTAATATTTGTCATATTATTTCCATATCAATCAGTTGCTATCTGCATAATATTCCATCATTCCCCTATTTTCAAACAATGAACTTATTGCCAAAGTCATAAGGGATACCAAAATGAAAAATAATTGGCATTTCTTTCCCCTGCCCACCTCTTCTGTATTAATGTTTGATTGATAAACCTAGGTCAAGGGCTATGCTCACAACATATAACACCAAATTATTTTCCATAAGAGATAAAATAATTTATACAACTGCCAGACATGGGTAGTCAACATTTCACCAAAAAAAAAACTCGTTAAGGCAAAAATACAACCCCAAAGTAACCAAGTACCTGTTTCTGATGATGAAATATTTCACAGGGTCAGCCCTGTCTTTAGTGGGTGTAGCATAGCAGTTCTTCAACAACAGGTTAAACCGAGAGGTGTCCCCTTTGTCCAAGATGGCACCCACATAGAGCATGGATTCAACAGGCAGCACAACCCTGGCCCCTTCATAGGGAGATGTGTAGTTCTGGTCTTGGAAAAGGGCCATCCTTACAGTGAACTGACCTTTATCGCCCACACTGATGTTCAGAGAACTGAGAAAAGAAAAGCCGCAAGGGTGGAAACATCAGGTTTTGATCAGAGGAGGCAAAATAAATTAAGCTCCTCACTTGTAGAAGGTCACAGAGGCAAAAGCACATCTTTGGTCTGTAAATGAATTAGTCAACCATTCATTTAAACTAAGCATTTGCTATTGTCTAGGCACTAAACCAGGGAGCCCTGATGGCGCTGTGGTTAAGCACTTGGCTACTAACTGAAAGGTCAGTGGTTCAAACCCACAAGCTGCTCCATGAGGAAAGATGTAGCAGTTAGTTCCTGCAAAAAAAAAAAAAAAAAAAAAATTACAGCCTGGAAACCCTATGGGACAGTTCTACTCTGTCCTACAGGGTCACTATGAATTGGAATCAACTCAGGGGTGAAAAGTTTTTTTGGAGGCATTAAACTTGATGAACACAGGGTCTGTCTTCATTGACAGGATCTCTGTCAATCCTCCTGGCACTGCAGTTCAGAGCTGTCTCTATCACTCAAAGACGTGCAGACCTTCATCACCTCTATAAAATGGGCTTAGGACCAGTTTTGTTGGCACACAATTTATTTGTAGCAGCAGATCTCTTCTATCCACTTCTATAATCTTCAATCAAACACCAATTTTAATATTACAAACCAGACCAGTTGCCCTTCAATCTATTCTAATTCATGGCTTCCCCATGTGTTTCAGAGTTGATCTTTGCTCCATAGGGCTTTCCAGTGGCTGTGGTCCTTTGGAAGTAGATCACCAGGCCTTTCTTTGAGACACCTCTAGGTGGCTTTGATTATCAGCCTCTCAGTGAAGAGCCAAGTGCTTAACCGTTTGCACTCTCCCAGGACTCCTTCTAACAAGGAGATGGCTTTAATTTTTATTTTTGGTGGTTGGTTGCTTTAATTTTTATTTGTTATGAACTTTGGGCTCCAACACAATATAGTCAGAAAGTCACGAAACTGGAAAATTTCTAAAGGTCCTTCTGATCTTGTCACTCTCTGAGTCTAGGAGGTAAAAAGGGGATTTCTCAATTTCTGACATCCCAAAAAGTCCCCTGGAAAGTCTAGGAATGATACATAACTCACTCAGTTCCGAGTGCTGAATAGATATATAGCCATGAACAAACAGACAAAAGCCCTTGCCCACATGAACTTCCCTCCAAGTTGCCTTTTAGTTCTATTTCTGGCATGGATGGGGGTGATGTTTATCCAGGAAAGTAATTTTCTTAAAAGCAGAATTCAGGATATTCTGGTCTGGGCTTAAACCCCACTTCTGCAGTGAAGCCTTCTCACCCCCACCATACCCAAACCAAGTTTAGGTCAGGGAACGTTTCTCCCTGCTCCCAAAGTACCCCATGTTTCTTCTCTATAGCATTCACCAAGATGAATAATTATTGGCATTTCACCAAGATGAATGAACTTGTTCTGTGTATTTGTGCCTTGCCACATTTTGATAAACACAATTTCATTCTGCTACATTGCTTCATAATCTTAATTTTTAATATCCATATAATAGTCTATGTCTGCTTTGTTCATGCTGAACATCCTGAATACATGATCACCAAATACTTATGGAATGATTTATTGATTGAATGAAAGGAGGCTGGACACATCTCGAGGGCATCCCAAGCTGCCCTTGAAGTGGGTATGATCAATGTCTCCAATATGAACCAAAGGTCAAGAGTCAATGCTGTACCTTACGATGGGCTGCAAAGCAGTCTGGAGGCTGACTTTCATGTCCAGTGGGTAGGCACACTGGAAGTTGATGTTGAGGATGGTGTCTCTGATGATGAAATCATTGACCAAGGAGATCTTGTTTTTGTAGATGGCATGAGTTTGATTTCTCTTTGGCAGAAAAACAAAGCCACATATATATTTACATGAGCATGTGTGTAGATGTGTCTCAGACTCAGATCCTTCTGACTCCAGAACTAGTGCTCTCATCCATTCTGTCACCTTCCCTGCTGACCTAAAGAGGTCAATGAGACTCCCTGCCCAATGCCATTGACTCTTGAAGGGACGGGAGTGAGGACCCCAAGTCAAAAGCTAGAACAATACTGCCCTGGGGAAGAGTCAAGAATCACTCGCTTGTTCTTCTGTTGACCTCTCCCATATCATCTCTAATTAAAATGATCATAATTGTAGTTTATAATAATTGAGCTCAAGTGTTAGACCTGTCCTGAGCTCTTTATATGGACCACCA